AAATGATTCATGATGTGTGCGAGCAAAGCTTGACACGGCTGCCAACATTACTACCAAAGGACACGAATAAAGTGCATTATCGATGTAACTGTATTTTTATTTGTTTTATTTTAATTTTTTTTTTTATTTAGGTACGAGTCGAAAATACCTGCTGAACTTGACGCGAACGCGTCGATGATGGATCTGAAGATCATGAGAATTGACGTTTGATACTAGGAATGAAAATTGTTAGGCTTTTTTTGGACAGCTGCAGCTTACGTAGCCCCCGTAAAAATTGGCAGTGGTGATTCAACAACATAATTGGATCTTTTAATACCTCGGAGATTCGGCTGGAGCAGCGGCAGCAGCTATTACAGAGCTTTTGCCAATGCAAGCGGGTGGGTGGGTGCGCTCGGTCAGCTCTTTCAGCTTTTTAGGGCTACTCGAGTCTCGAGACCAGAGGAGACCTTATAAAAGCTCGGCCATGTGTGTAGTGTGTGCAACGCGTAGTAGCAGCGGCACATCGCAATGGAAAGAGTAGAGCAGACAGAGACAGACGCAATTTCGCGGGGTTACACGTGGAGAGACCTTCCGGCCAGATTATATGTACGATGAGGATAGATAGAAGAGGGAATATATACATATAAGCGTAGATATGAAGATAAAAAGAAGAGAGAACGAGCGGAAAAAGCTTTCTCTGACGCCGCCATCGACTCTCTTTTTCTCTCTCTCCCGACCGGAGGAGGAAGCCCGAAAGTGAGCGAAAAAAGAGGTAAATCTCGCAGCACGCCGATGGACGAGGAAGCAAAACGCCCGACTAAAAAAAAAGAAGGAGTTTGAGAGAGAGAGAGGGAGTACAACGCAGCCAGGCAAAATTTCTGCAAACGAAAAAAGGGGTGTGTGCTCGCGTTCGTATATATACTTCCGAGTTTCTATATTTTATTCTCTACTTGAAACTTACGAAATGAATATCCTAACGATATTGGTTTGAACCGTTGCCCGGTAAACTGCCCAACGAAACTGCACCCGACTAAAAAAAAAGTTAAAAAAAAAAACTATTCGCAAATATTTCTTTCACGCGTGGCTCGTACATACGTGTGCGCGCTCGTGTGTGCAGTGTCTGCGGAGCTCGAATGCATTTTTTTCTGCGTCAATTTTTTTTGTGCACATGTAAGCATCCACAGGCAATCTTGAAAACCCCTTTTTTAATGCCTTTTACGGCGATACATGGCCCCTTCTATAAATCTATTCAGTAAAGCAATGGAGCTCGTACAGATGTATACTCGAAATATTTCGATCAACGCATGCCCTTTACTCGTAACGCATCAGATCGACTGCATCTTGTATGCATAAATTTATAATGGCCACACGTCTCAAGTTTGAGAGTCAACATCGTAGACATTACTATAAAGCAAAGACAATAAAGCGAATCGAAGTTGCGCTGCCAATACGCTCAGCCTCAGAAGAACAACTAAAAACGGTATGTATGTAAGGGCGTGAAAGAGACTCTACTATATATGTGCCCACGAGAGGCGCAGAGGCGATAAAACATTGGCTGCTTATATACGTTACGTTAAGCGCGAACCGTTAGTCTGTCGTTCGACACACACAATGGCATACGAGAGTGAGAGAGAAAGAGAGAGAGCAACGTGTGTGACTATCCGCTATAAGCTATAAATAGACTTATATGCTTACTCTCTCTCTCTCTCTATCTCTCTCTGGTAGTCGTTCGCAAGCACGGTCTATATAGGCTGCATTATTATTCACGCGAGTGCAGCCACTATTGCTGCTGCTACTGCTTGTTCCGTCAATCTCGAGAAAAATCGTCGAAAACGTCCAAGAATGCCGCCCGTGCGGTATCTGGGTCGAGACGAAAGAGATCGCCCCTGTACATATACGTTAAAGCGGCAGCTCGTAATCGCCACTTTTATGCGCTAGTATATATAGTAGTAAGTGCGTGAGTAGTAAGAACGTTATACATATATCGCTGCTTTATCGTCGATTTATTAGAAAAGAATCTGGAATCTTCGGAATTATAATAAAAAAAAATTGGTTAATAATATCTTCCTCTACTTCTTGCTTATTTTTTATCGAGACGATAACGGATTCTGTCGTTTATTTGCACATAATAATTCACACGAGTCGCGTCGATCAACATTTTTTTCTTTCGCCTCGTGAGCATCGTCGATGTGTCGATCGTAAAATGTTATATTACGATCGAAGGAAAAAATTGATCAAGCGTCGAATATTGTGCAATAGAGTCTGGCTCTCGACGACGATTTGGATCGTAAATGCCAGAGCTCAAAATTGATCAACGAAACGCGCGAACGTAATTTATTATCTGGTTTATTTTTCGATCGTGCGTCGTGGATCATTATTACGGCTGCAGCGCGGCATGGCGTTATCAGTAGAGCCGACGAATTATCAGCCGTAACACAGATCGCGGCACAACACTATTGGTTACATGTATTTACAAATACATATTCTACGACATTATAAAGCAATGTCGTAAGTCGCATCGGCAACATGGCTGCGCGCGAATCCACATTATACATACTCTCGCGCCAAAGCGCAGCGAATTATGCTTGTGACATGTTTGCTTTAGCTTTTGGTTTATATACGCGCGCTTTAGCGCTAAGGAGCGAGTTTATTTCTTGAATCTAGTGTCGGTACATTAGCCGACGTGTTTGTGAAACATACACTTGTACAGCCGCAGCGGCGCACTGCGCTCGAGCGCGGCGCGGCGTCGTTATTTGCCTTGGCACATCTCACTCGGCGCGCCGCTATACGCTATATACATGCGTACAACACCGCTGCCGAGCTATATACTCTTTCATCTTTTGCACACAAGTATACGCTCGCCACGCGCCCGTGTTAATATCGCTTTTCCCCGGCGCGCGAGGGGGCAAAGATTCTCTCTCTCTCTCTCGCTCCTGCACGCCTCTCTCGAACTTTTGCACTGGTGCGATTAATTTCGCGCGCTGCAAGCTCGGGCTGTGCACAATATCGCAAGCGTTGACCGAAAAAAATCGCGCAAGACGCGCGATAATTATAGCCGAGGCGCATTTCTGCGCCATTAAATCGTCTCGAGTCGGTGTTATTATGTATTTGTATCGAATCGATCGACTCGACTCGTTTCGAGTCCATTGAAGCTTCCGAATTCGAAGTCGTTCTGGCTCATTGTCCCGCTCATTCTCCTATCGCATAAGCTATCCTCTTTTTTCCTTGAGCTCGAGCTATCGGTTGTTCGCAATAGCCAATTAAAAGACGAAAGAAGCCGAGAGAGGCACTTTTTCACGCCTTTGACGATCTGCAACAACACCCACAATGCAGCCGCCTTAACGACTTTGAAGCTTTTCCAATAGAGACATTATTATATCCGCTTGGCAAAACCGAACGCTCGAACGGCACAAAATACTTGTGCCGAGAGTATACGCAGTGCCGATGAGAGGAAGGTTTTGCACTTTGACAAGGGGTTCCACGACGTGATTGAGGAGAGAGAGAGAGAGAGAAACAACGCCCGACAACGACGACGTCGATTATATTATATCGGCAGCTATTCGAGTGCGCCGTTTAAGCACGTTGCTTTATTATATTGGCTTTAAAGCTCGAGCTAAGTAGCTTTGCCGCGCGTACTCCATTTATCGCTCGGAGACTCGCGACGAGTGGCTATTTGCACTCTTTTGAATAAACACTTTTTTTCGCGGATCGAGAAATTTATGATTTTAACGCGCCAAAGTAAGAATGATAATTCGTCGAACACGAATTCGCTACGTGATGTATCGTATGTGTGACGGCTGAACGAAAATTGGCAGCGATGTTGTATACGCGATCGCGCTATAATGCACACAAAACAGCGGTATAGTAGCACGAGCTGCCTCCTATATACACGTCGTCGTTGTCGTTTCCGTGCGCGGGCTGTTTAACTTTCTCTCGGCAGTTATTTTTGCATCGCAGGCAAATTGGCTTCTCGTACACACTTACCATACTCACACACACACAGGCTCGGGTTATTTACCCTGCGCGCCGAGCCGATAAATATACGATAAGGTTATCGTCGCATGTGACATAAACACTGCTGCGTCCATGCGATCGGACGTGTACTCGAAGGAGCTGTGTGGCATAGTTTTCAGCAGCTTGTGTATCGCTTCTGCATCGATGCAGTCGCGAAAAAAGAGACAGAAAAAAAAAAAGAAAAAGACTTTCATATGCGTAAAAATATATCGCGGGCAATAACGCGTGCCAATTTTTTCGCTCGAGATCGATGTTCCTGCGACTCTCTTTTTATTGTTTCGCGAAAGATCGTCGAGTCGACGACGCTGCTGTGAGAAAAGGTGAACGCTCCCTCTTCTGCGGCCTCTCTCTTTCTCTCTCTCTCTCCCCGTAATATTATATTCATTTTCGGATCAACGATTTGTCTGCAGATTTCTCGGAAGACTATTTATCATTCGTGAACTTTCGTGTTGGATTCGAACGCGCATATATATCGCTAAAAAAGACGCTCGTCGAGTCTTAGGTCGTCGTCGTCGTCGTTTATTTTAAAAGCGGCAATTCGGGATCATTTTATTCGGCTGACTCGAGCCGAGAGATAGAGAGGCAGCGTGGCGGCTGTTTCATAAAAGCGCTCAATTATCCGGAAAAGCAAATAACAAATTGGAAATGTGTTGTTGTTGCAAGCCGTTATAAAAGCCGAAACGGCCGCTTTTGCCCGTACATAATTCATCTGTTTCCCTCTCGCACTCCTATGCTCGGCTTGGATGCATGCGCGCGGCTGTGTATATTTAATATAAACTCGCGGCGAGTGCGGAGCTCGCGACAATTCGGCTACGACGACGAAATTAGATGTACTAATTGAGCATGAACGCGCGGCATTGCTGCAAGCTGCACTGCACACGCGTCGCCCCACGCTATAATTCGTTATGCGGCGAAGTTGCAGCGAAAATAATGATGACGATCCGGACAATCGGATCGTTTCGGACGAACATATACATAGAAAAATAGCGTGAGTAAGAAAAGTTTACCTCTCTATCCTTGGCCTGTAGCTCCTGCTCGTGATTCGCGTTGGGCGTCCGCCTGTTGTTGCTCGAGTCCTGATTCTGATTCTGATCGGTGCTCTGAGCATTGTTGCTGCCCTCAGTCTTGACATTAGCCGTGTCGTTGGCCGACGCCGAAGCCAACTGCTCCTTCAGCACTGACACCTCCTTTTCCGCTAGCGTTGCCCTCTGCAAAAGCGACAAAATAACGAAAATGTATTAATTAATCGAGTCGACTTTATGCTTCTTTTTTACAAACATAATACACGATGAATGCGGCCTTTCTCGGCAGGCGAGATCAAACGAGCTCGCGTTTATAAGCACTAGCGACATAAACGCCGCTGCGTGCTGCGTGTGACTTAAAATAGATCTCGATAGAGCCAATGTGTTATTGCCGTGAATGATCGTAACAATTGCGTCTCGATATAAATATATTTAACCTCTCTCTCTGTCGCACTCTGCTTTTCGCTTTAATGTTCCGGCTCGCGAGACTTTTGTCTACGGGCCGCCGCCGAGGAAAATTAACCGACTTGAAAATCAATCAATTCCTCTCTCACTCGCCTCTCGATTTAGAGCCTATACTTTTCGCTGTTGCGCACACGTATACGCACGTGGAAATAGAACGAGCCGCGAAAATGTCAACAATGACGAGGCCCATTGTGTGACACTGTGACTGTATAGATGCTTACATATATTCTACGCAAAGGCAACCCTTTTTTTGCCATTAATACCCTATTCGGCAATGTGGCGTTACTTGTTATTCGTGCGCCGATACATGCAGAAAACCGAACGAAAATATAGGCACGAATCCATAGTTTCTGCAGTCATTATAAAGTTCAACACAAAAGCCACATCGCTTCCTCTCTCGCCACTGCTGTTTTTTTTTTTTACTTTTTGTCGTTGGCGCGCACACCTTTCGATACAGAGAGAAATGAGAAGCAGCAGCAGCCACCAGTGAGTTTTTTTGCCTATATCATAAAATTCATATACATCGATACTCTTTATTCGCTCGAGTCGAGCAAGGCTTTATATAGGCACGAGTGGGAGCCCGCAGTTGAAATCAAACTTGCGAAAAAATTACAATAGCTCTAAATATACAGTAAAACCCGGAGCAAGAGAGAGAGAGAGAGAGAGAAAGAATCGAAAAAAGAGTAGGTGAAAGAATGGGGTAGTTACGCTCGAGAAATGAATAAAACAATGCGGAGAGACAGAGAGTGAGGGTTTTTTTAGAGGCAAAACGAGCCGTGTGACAGCTAACTCGTGTATTGGTAGGACGGGATCGCAATGGATTCTGCCGATAGGCATTATACAAGTATCAATTTTTATCGCAAGATACACGACATGAAAGGAAGTATGAAAAATCGACACGGCCATAATTACGCAACCTCGTTCGTATACACACGAACAAGAGATTGTATATAGTTGCACACGAAGAGCTTTGAGTTTGTCGCGTGTACGCACCTGCATTATTATAGAATAAAGAGGATAGGCTGCTGTCCTAAAGCCAGAGACCAGAGTTGGGACGTTTGAGGGGATCGCGTTTTTAAACTTTGCCCATAAAGAGTCTCTAATAAATATATCGCGCTAAATGCTATAGAGTCCTTGCCAGTGGAGAGGCACAGGTTCGGGGCCGGATATTAATTATAGATGCTTTTATATTCAAAGTAGCCCGCGCATACCAGCACACCCCTCGAGATGCTTCTCTTTTTTTCTTCTTCACCGTTCCACATTGCTCTCTTTTTTAAGCCTCACCCGGCTCATACACAGGAAAATTGAGGGATAGAAAGAGCGCGAGAGAGAGAATCAACGGCCCCTTTTCTTGCCTTTATTGACCAAATACTCTCCCAATATAGATATAGATACATTATCGTTCGAGACCGAAGTCGGCTTTGATTTTTTCAATAACGTACACACGCTAAAATAATATCGCGTAGAACAAGCGATTCTCGAGCTCTCTCGCGCTCGCCTTATCTTATCTTATAATTTGTAATTAGTACACGGTAATTGGATGACTTTGAAGCTTCGATAATAAATATATGCGAGTATATAAGTGTATTCGACGAGTCGAGAAGAAAAAAAAATGAAGGAGAGACGAAGTGTCGTATTGATTTTAGGCGACGATGTTTCATCGAACGCGATGAAGTCATCGCGATATTCTCGCGAGCGTTGTATTTTAATAATAACACAAACTGCGCGCGGCGCTCGGGAATCAATCTCGTGGAACGGAGGAAGTTTTCGCTGTTCTCGAAATAAAAAAAAGAGAAATAAAGAAAGAAAAATAATGAATTATTATTGCCCGAGCCGAGTTTTTAATAAAAACCCGACAGCTATTGATTTGCGTTTTACAAGCGAGCGTCGAATGCTTCTGTATTCTTTTTTACATAAGTGCATATGCATATTGCACGTACGAGGGCTACTAATCACGCGATTGATTTACACCGGCACTTATCGACCGATATGCAGGGGGTAAAACAAGGGGAAAAAACGTGTCCGCGTTGGCAAGGAATCGAAGGATCGACGCGAGTCTCGCTGATCGTGGGTTATATATCGCGCATAAACATGCAGAAAAAAGAGAGAGAGAGAGAGAGAATCGCGGCGATCCAGCAATTGTAATGATCCATTGTTTCCTGCGACATTCACGCACACAGACCGACGAAAAACCTTGACGATGTTATCGATAATTACGAAATGATACAGGCCGCCGCGGCGTAAATACATATCCGCGCTCGCGAGAGCTCTAATGCCATATCTCGATGCAGGCCGCCCGGCTCTCCTATACGTGTATAAGTGCTATAACGTCTGCTCTAATGCCCCACAGAACTAGTCTGCTGCACATATCCACGTTACGTTATGCAGCGCTGCACTTGTCTATCAATATAGCATATCCGCTGCCACGTCGCTCGGGATTTATTATTATTTTTCTTTTTTTTTTTCATTTCAAGAATATATTTGTCACGTGCTTTATTGCAGAAGACGCGTGCGTTCTTTTTTATTGTTATTATTTTTTTTATCGGATTGCAATTTTCCTCGTTGTTGTTTCGCGTTATATACATATACATGCCTGCAGTCGATCGTCCGGCGGAAGTCCGCCGACTGAGTACGCAGTAGTGGTAACATCATCAACACGAGCGCGTTCGTTTGAAAAATCGTCACCGTATTCGCAAATATAATACACATATATCGTTCTCGAAAAATCATTATTGATGATAATTATTCGTTACGTGAATGCAGCGAAAATTACTCTCGCTGATCGCGTGGGAGCGAGAGACATATTAGCATAATGAATTATATGTGTGTGTATCGTATGCATGCTTCGCGACACTCGCTAGGTCTCTCACAATACATGCACAGTACACACACACACACACATATGCGAGCATTGACGCGCTCGCTCGCCGTGCGATATTTTACTGCCGAATTCGCTGGCTATTACTTTAATTGCTTCCAGATGCTAATTGACGACCTAAACATATGCCGCGTGTCTGCTGCGCCGAGGCATATACATATAGCCAGTGTTATGTTATTCGTGTGTGCGCGAATCGATTTATGTGTTTCACACACAGGGCAAAGGATCTCGATATTCGCATTTCGCAGCGACATACACAAGTATCGTGCGGCATGTGTTTGTCATTAAGATATTGTAAAGCTCGAGTCTCTATTCTCTCTTACGGAACATTATCGGTTTTATTGAGTGACATATAAATGGGAACGGGGGCGTCATATATTTATATCCACACCCTATCGATTCGTCACTCGTCTTTATGTAAAAACATTAAAAACTCCCTCCAACTCTCTCGGGAGCACAAAGGATCCGGTACGAGTAAAACTAAAGTGCGATGCCATCGGATATGGCACCTGCTACTCGAGTGCGCACGAAATGATCTCTCGATTTCACTCGAACGATAATACGCAACGATCGCCGGTCTGCGCGAGCTAATCGTTGTCGCGAGGAATCCGAATTGAATGAAAAAGTATTGGTCATCGTGGTGACTTACGTAAAAGCTCCGATCGTCTTTTCATTCACGAGCTTGATAGCAGTACATCCATCTCATGTATATTACACGCATACAAGTAGCATAATGTGTTCGCGACGATCGAGCCATGCCAGCTGTTACTGGCATGTTAAGCACCTACTATCGCGACTCGCTAAGCGCGTACATACATGTGTACAAGTGTAAGTGTGTACGCGCGCAAAAGAGAGAGAGACGCGTGATCGACGCTCAAGGGCACGCTCGCGAGCGAATATCAATTATCGTGATTATATATTATGCAGCTCGATTGAAGCTTTTCAAGATCTCTCGAGCTCGCAGCGGTGGCTAATATTTTCCTTGGCAAATATTCGCTCGAACTTGGCACCGATATATGCACTCGTTCGCGTTACGCAGCAGCACACGCATTCGCATTTTCGGCGCGATTTCGGGTAGCTATGCGATGCGATCGAACAGCAGCAGAAAATAGCCGATTCGGATGTTCTAATATAATGGCGATAAATTCGCGTGGCAACGACAGCGACTCCGAGACACTGACGCGCTCTGCGTCGTATGGCTGCATCGATGCTGTCGCTTTTTACAAACAATTTAATTTAACGCTCAAGCGCGTTGCACACGTGCAACCGAAACGATCGACTTCTCGCGTATCTCTACCAAAGACAAAACTACGATCGTGATGCTTTTCGACCGCTGGTATACTTGTAGATATGTGTATACGGAGTCTCGAGCATTGGAAAAGACATTAATATCGTTTCGAGGAGCAGCAGGCAGTGTCGGAAGCTCTTGTCGAGGCAGTCGACCGGGATCCCGAGAAACGAAACTTGCGGGCGCAATAGAGACCGAGAGTGGCAAAAAACCGCTCGAAATGACGCGTCCCCTTCTTTGGTCTCGCATAGTAGCTGACTTAGAAAATGAAATAAAAAGAAAAGAAAAAAGAAATAAAGAAGCGTCGGTTAACGATCTTGGTCTGGTCGGGTGGGAATTGTTAGTTCGGCCGCAACCTTGATGCGGTGACCCGCTCTCGTATCGCGCACCCGACGACTCGACTGGTATTTTGCGCACGCCAGTCTATATTTATGTGTGGTCACTTCTTTACACGGTCATTAAATGGCGAATCAATCGATCGATTGATTGATTTGACCATCTGCGCGAATGTCGCCTTATACTTTTCTTTGAATAATTATACACGTAGAGGTACTC